TTGTACTGGGCATCGAACTGGTGGACGAGTCGGATAGCAGCGTGACGATGTGCCAGCGACGGTATGTCAACGACATCCTCAAGCGCTTCGGCATGGATGAGTGCAAGGCCACAGCAAGTCCGGTCGATTTGAGCACTCGGCTTGTCGCAAGCAGCGAAGCGGCCAAGATCGAAGTTCCGTTTCGTGAAGCTGTGGGAGCTTTAATGCACTTGACGACTGCGACGCGCCCGGACATTGCGTATGCTGTGGGGTATGTCTCGCGCTTCAGGGAGAATCCGCAGCAAGAACATTGGACGGCGGTGAAGCGCATCTTTCGTTACTTGCAAGGGACCAAGTCGCACGGACTCCGCTTCCAGCCAAGCGACAAGATCGACTTTCGTGGCTACTCGGACGCGGACTGGGCCGGCGACCACGCTGATCGCAAGTCGACTTCGGGTTACACTTTCATGCTGATGGGTGCCCCTGTGAGTTGGGGAAGCAAGAAGCAGTCAAGTGTGTCGCTGTCGACGAGTGAAGCGGAATACATTTCACTGAGTCTGGCCATCCAGAAAGGCAAGTGGGTGCATCGACTGCTATGCGAGATTTTGGCGGCCGCAAACGAACCAGGACCGGATCTCGTCATCCGTGAGGACAACCAGTCGTGCATCAAGATGACGAAGAATCCGGTGAATCATGGCCGCGCCAAGCACATCGACATCAAGTACCATCACATCCGTGATGAGGTCAAGCGCGGTGAAGTGCAGCTCGAGTATTGCGAGACTTCCGTGATGATGGCGGACATCATGACCAAGGGACTTTCGGGACCTCGCCACAAGGACTTGACGACGGCTCTCGGCATTCGTGCAAGTTCGGATTGAGGGTGCGTATTAGGGTTACCGATACAATCCGAACTTAAGCGTAGTTTTTACGGGATAGTTTTTACGTCGGTAATTACCTCAGCGATGATTGGACGCGTAGGATGATTAGACGTGTGTAAATCAGGTTGATTAGATGCACCATGTGATTGGATGCAGTCTAGGGTAGGCAGAGTTAAGACCTATGAATAAATCACTTTCCAATCTTCCATCTACCCCTCAAGTGTCTTCTCCGGTCTTCCGAGTGGACTCCCAGCATCCCTTCTCAGTTTCAGTCGTCAAGCTTCACACCATGCAACAGTTGTCTTCCATAACCTTGAGCTCGGACTTGTCCGCTGCGGTAGCCAGAAAGTTATCGCGCAGCAAGCGATGCACCCACTTGCCTTCTTGAATGGCCAGACTTAGAGCGATATACTCGGCTTCACTTGTTGACAATTACACACTTGGTTGCTTCTTGCTACCCCAGCTCACCGGAGCACACATGATCATGAATGCGTCTCTCTAAGTAGACTTGCGATTCACATGGTTGCCGGCCCAGTCTGCATCCGAGTAGCCGTAGAAATCCACCTTGCCGCCGAGTTTAAAGCAGATGCCGTGCAATTTGGATCCATGCAAGCATTGCACAATACGCTTGACCGCCATCCAGTGCTCGACTTGCGGTTTCTCCATGAAGCGCGAAACATAGCTCACAGTTAACGCAATGCCCGTCGTGTCGCGGTCGTCAAGTGCATTAAGGCACCCACTGCTTGATGAAACAGAGCGTCGATATTGGTCGCTGCGTTACTTCGTGGAGTCGAGGGGTGATGTCCGTTAGGCTGATGACAGCTTTGCAATCGCTCATGCCGAACCGCTTCAGAACACCGTCTACGTAGCGTCGTTGGCACATCGTCACGCTGCCTTCATCCGTTAACATCTCGATACCCAACGCAAAAGAACACTTGCCTCTGTCAGTCATCTCGAAATGCGACTTCAAGTCGTACGCGCAATCATTTCAGTCGAGCTGCCAGTCACCAACACATCATCGACGTAGACCAGCAAACACGCACTGTCCGCTTGCGACCTTGAAATCGATGCATGGGTAAAAGTTGGACGCTTGAAATCTGATAGAGCAGACGAGCTCATGGAAAGTTTCTTTCCATACCCGTGAAGCTTGTTCAGTCTGTAGATTGCTTTCACCATCTCAAAGCAGTCAAAGTTTACATTGACTTCTACACCCTCTGGGACCGCGCAAAACACTGGTCCCTTTATTTCACCGTGCAGATAATCTGTCACCACATCTAGCTGTTCCAGCGTCCAGTAAAAGTACTCGTGATCACTATCACCATGCGAAGCGTCACATACTTGACGCCTGGCGAGAACGTCTCCGTGAAGTCAATGTCATTTCTCGTCTTGAACCCTTTTGCCACAAGACTCGCCCTTGCACGTTTCGATCGGTTCATCAGCCTCGCGCTCGATCTTAAACACCCACTTGGTACCAATGGTGTGCTGTCCATCTGGCAGCTTGGTCCCTCGGAACACACCACGTAGCTTCATTGCGTCCAACTCGGCGCAAATCGCATTACGACAACGAACTTGATCCGGACCACTACCCGCGTGTTGAAACGTAGTCGGCTCGGACAAGTCAGTATCTTTGGCTGCATTGGCACTTGCTTGCCAGAAGACTAGAGGAGACTCATCATCGTCATCTTCATCACCGCCTTTTCGCTCTTCGTCTAGATTGGCGCGAGTTCTTTAGCGCAGTTTCGCTTGGTGCGACTCAAAATCATCTGGTGCACTTGCTTCTTTCAACCCGGCTCCACTGCGATTAGGAAGTGTCCGTTAATAGACTTTTTCATGGCAGTTTGAACGGCTCTTTTGCTTTCTATTGTGCTTGAACTGCATGGTGCAAAGCTCATCACTGGTGTCCATCGCGTCGAAGTCCAGCGCAGTGTCATCGACAACTTCTTGTGGCAGTGCCCGTGATAATCCAAACGTTGATTCGTCAAAGGCGACATCACGCGATATTACCACTTGATCTGCTTTAATTTCGTAAATGCGGTAGACTTTCAACACGTCTTTGTATCCCATGAACTTCCATCTCATGCCTTCGAATCCCACTTCGATCGCTTTTCTTTGAGGTCAACAGGAACGCTCAGTATTTAAAAACTCGCGTGTGATTTACACTTGGCCGTGTTGATGGTATGGCACGGGAGTGACGAAAAGACCGGAAGAGTGTTGACGGTCATCGGTTTCCTACCAGTATTAGTAACCGTGACCGGTACAATCCGAACCGCCTGTTCAGTTTAGTTTATATGACGTAGTTCTTACGGTAATTACCATAGTTGATTAGACGCATAGGATGATGAGACGCTTCACATGATTTATATTTGCACCACATATGAATCATGTAGTAAGTAGTAAGCCCCGATAATCAATCACTTTCGAATTCTCCTTCTGCCGAGCAAGTCTTCTCTGCTCCGCTCCTCAAGCCTCTTCGCTCCTTCCGGTCTTCTCGTCACTCCCGTGCCATACCTTTAACAGGTTATGAGCCCAAGCGCAATGCCTTCTGCCGGCCACGCATCCTCCAACGTCCTCATCGATAAGTACGATTGGGACAACTATTCGACCTGTAGTCGATACATGCGTGGCGTGTTCTGACACAGTCAGTGTGGCATGCTGTCAACCGGGAGAGCTCCCCGACGTTCGTGGACCCTCGAGCGCAGGAAGACTACGCCAAGGCCAACAACATCGCGTTTGGAATCATGTTGCTGCACATGGGTGCGGACTACCACCATGTGGTCGACAACTGCGAGGAAGCGTGGGTTGCGTGGCAGAGCCTGAAGGTGCTGTACGGTGGATCCCAGAAAGCGGGAAGGATCTACCTCAAGCGTCAACTCTTCAGCATGAAGATGGATGAAGGCGCCAACGTCATGCATCACTGCAACGAGGTCCTGAACATCGCTGTCAAGCTTAGCAGCATCGGTGCGAAGATGGAGGACGAGGACGTCGCAATTTGCCTGCTGCTCAGCCTCCCTAAGAGTTTTGAGAACGTTGTTCTAAACTTGGAGATGAGCAGCGCGGAGCTTCGTACCCAAGATGTGGTGAAGGTGCTCACGAATGAGCGCACCAAGCGCCAAGGGGAAAAGTTGACAACAACAGCGACGATGGTCAAGACTGAAGATGCGGCCAAGGCCTTCAACATTGAGCGCGAGCCATACAAGTGCACCTACTGTGGGAAGGTGGGACACACTGTCGATCGCTGTTGGTCCAAGCAGAAGAATGAAAGTCGAGGAGCCCGACGCGGCGGCAATGGTCGTGGACGCGGGGCAAACAATGTCCAGTGGGGACAATATCGTGATGAAGGCAGCGACTACGATCAAGTAGCGTTTGCAGTTTCGCTAGAGTGTGGACTCTCACCGAAGAAGGACGTGTCCGGAATGTGGGTCGTCGACAGTGGTGCAACACACCACATATGCCACGACAAGACCAAGTTTGCAAGACTGAACAAGCGCAACGACGGTCAAATCTTGGTGGCGGATGGCAACAAAGTGGCCATCAAGGGTGTTGGAACCATCTTTGAAAAAGTGGTTCTGCCGACGGTGAAGAGCGCGAGATCGAGATCAAGAACGTGCTTTACGTACCAAGCATGAGCAAGAATCTACTATCGGTACCGCAGATCAACAAGCACGGCAAGTTTCAAGTCGTGTTCGACGGGACCAAGACGTTTGTCGCTCGCAAAAGATCGCAACAAGTGGTGGCAACAGCAGATCTTGTGGATGACCTTTACTGGCTTCACACAGCTCATCGATCGGCCAATGCGACAACAAACGGATGCAACGGTGTCGACTTAAATGCGCGGATAGGACACGCTCTGGCTGATGTGCTTCGCAAAATGGTGGCCATGAACATGATCAAGGATGTGAAGGTACCTCTCACGTCAAGTGGATCAAGCGCATGCCGAGGATGTCAACAAGGGAAAATGGTCCAAAAACCATTCCCATGCAACCAGGACAAGCGCAGATATGACACCTTCGAGCTACTTCACGTCGACATCTTCGGACCCATGGAGATGAATTCTCTGGGTGGCAGCAAGTATCTACTGCTGATCGTTGACGAAGCCAGTGGATGCAGTCGGAGAGTGAAAACTACATCACACGATACATCAAGATGGTGCAAGCACAGTTTGGCAAGAAGGTCAAGCTCGTCCGACACGACGGAGCCTGCGAGTTCGAAACCAACTCGCTTCAAGAATTCTACGAATATGAAGGCATTGAGCAGCAGACGACGGTGCCATATGCACACCAGACCAACGGCACGGCAGAGCGCGCCATTCGGACTATCGTCAAAATTGGTCGCAGCATGCTCCACTATGCTAAGTTGGAAAAGTGCTTCTGGGCCGAAGCAGCAATGACGGCAACCTCCGTCAAGAATCGTCTGCCGTCGCCTAAAGTTATGCACAAGACTCCGTTCGAGATCGTCCACAACTCCAAGCCAAGTGTCAAGCACATGCGGGTGTTCGGTTGTCAGGTTTACATACTGACACCGAAGGTGAAGCGGCTCAAGTGGGACCCCAAGGCTCGCACTGGGATATTCTTGGGCTACGAAGAAGCATCCAAAGCGTACCGTGTTTATGACATCGAGGCGGGGCAGGTGGTCATCAGTTGCGATGTCAACTTTGACGAGTCCGCCTTTGGACTTTAGCCGCCAACCACCGCTGAAGACGCCGATGACATTGACTTCGACTCCCTCGATCTGGATGATGAAGCGCCAGGTCAAGCGCAGTACAAGCAAACAGGCAAGCGCAAGAGTCGTCCCCATGATGAAGGAGTACCAGCTCCACCCACGCGCACAGTGCGTCAACGGCCTGGACTAGAAGAATCAAGTGCGCCAGACAATCACACGACCCACCAAGAAGAAGATGAAGAAACAAAGAATGCTGATGCATCGACTCCGCCTGTGTTTTGGCGTGCGAGTGCGAACGCCATCGAAACGGCAGTAGACTTATCCGAGCCATCGACTTTTGAAGCTGCGGTGGGCGGTCCTGATCAAGTGCATTGGCGCGAAGCTATCCGTGCGGAACTTGAGTCGATGCGACTTCGTGAAGCATTCCGCGCAGCAAAGCTACCTGAAGGACATCGCGCCATTGGCACGAAGTGGGTCTTCAAGATCAAGCGAAAGCGGACGGATCAATTGACAAGTACAAGGCGCGTCTTGTGGCAAAGGGTTTCAAGCAACAATATGGGATGGACCACACGGAAACATTCTCGCCCGTCGTCAAGTACGTGACGCTGCGCATGGTGATTGCAGTCGCCAAGTATTTCGGATGGACCATCGACCAACTCGACGTATTGACGGCATTCCTGTATGGTGTCATAAAGGAACAAGTGTTCTGCGTCATCCCTGAAGGCGTGGAATTGGAGGGCTCCTTCGATTGTCTGGAGTTGGTGAAGGCAATCTACGGACTAAAACAAGCGTCGCGCGTATGGAACGAAACGTTTGACGTGTTCGTTTGTGCTATTGGATTTCAAGCGTCAAGCCTCGACCCGTGTCTCTACATAAGGATTGTGGAAGTACAATGCGTGCTGCTGCTGGTGTATGTGGATGACGTGTTGATCACCGGTAGCTCATGCGAGCTAATTGCACGCACCAAGACCGACCTGAAGACACGATTCGAGATGACTGACAGCGGCAAGTGTGCATTTGTGCTTGGAATCGAGCTTTTGGACGGCGCAGATGGAAGCGTGACACTATGTCAGCGTCGGTATGTAGATGACATACTCAAGCGCTTTAACATTGATGATTGCAAGGCCGTCGCAAGTCCAGTCGACATGAGCTCTCGACTTGTTTCAAGTGATGCAGCCACCAAGGTCGATGCTCCTTTTCGCGAAGCTGTTGGTGCGTTGATACACCTGACCACTGCAACGCGCCCGGATATTGCGTTCGCCGTGGGCTATGCGTCGCGATTCATGGAGAACCCTCTAGAAGAACACTGGGTTGCAGTTAAGCGTATCTTCCGCTATCTACAAGGCACCAAGATGCACGGAATCTGCTACAAGCCAACCAGCAAGATCGACTTTCGTGGCTACTCGGATGCAGACTAGGCCGGTGACCTCGCTGATCGCAAGTCGACGTCTGGTTACGTATTCATGCTGTTGGGTGCGCCAGTGAGTTGGGGCAGCAAGAAACAGCCAAGTGTTTCGTTGTCCACGAGTGAAGCCGAATACATCGCACTCAGCTTGGCGATTCACGAGGGCGAGTGGATTCATCGTCTGCTTTGTGAGATCATGATGGCTTCCAATGAAGAAGGACCGGAACTCATGATCCATGAAGACAATCAGTCGTGTATCAAGATGACGAAGAACCCGGTCAACCACGGCCGTGCCAAGCACATTGACATAAAGTATCATCACATCCGTGATGCGGTCAAGCGCGGTGAAGTGAAGCTCAAGTACTGTGAAACTGCGGTGATGTTAGCGGACATCATGACGAAGGGACTTCACGGGCCACGCCACAAGGAGATGACGGCGACTCTCGGGATTTGTGCGTGTTCGCATTGAGGGGGCGTGTTGACGGTCATCGGTTTCCTACCAGTATTGGTAACCGTGACCGGTCCAATCCGAACCGCCTGTTCAGCTTAGTATTTACGATGTAGTTCTTACGGTAATTACCATAGTTGATTAGACGCGTAGGATGATGAGACGCTTTACATGATTTATATGTACACCACATATAAATCATGTAGTAAGTAGTAAGCCCCGATAATCAATCACTTTTGAATCCTCCTTCTACCGAGCAAGTCTTCTATGCTCCGCTCCTCGAGCCTCTTCGCTCCCTCCGGTCTCTTTCGGTCTTCTCGTCAATCCCGTGCTATACTTTCAACAGTATAGGACCTCTGTTGGTGCGTGGCCCATACGCGCATGATGATCTTCGTCTCTTGATCGCAATGTAGCATTCACGGATTTTTGCAGTGTACGAAGCCAGTCGATTCCGTCTACAAGTTCTACCATTGCCATCACTTGCTCGGAGTCTTTGTGTAAAATCTTCATCTCGGCACCATGGAACATCACTTAAGCTTTGCAGCTCTTATTGATTTGCGGAATTGACAGCAGATTTTTGCTCATTCTTGGGACGTAAAGCGTGTTCTTGATATCGCGCTCTTCACCGTTTTGCGGGACCTTGCCTTGTTCCCATCTACGACCAACGCTTCGTCTTCATTGCGCTCGTCCGGAAATTTGAACTTGTTCTTGTCATGGCAGATGTGTTGCGTCGCACCGCTGCTATTCGCCCATATCCCAGACGTATTCGTGATCGCTGAAATTACGCATTCCAGTGACACAGCAAGCACTACTCGATCGTAGTCGCAGTTGTTATTGCTGTTGTATCCTTGCCACTGGACTTGATTCGCTCTACGTCCAGGATCATTGCTACCGCGTCGAGCTCCCCGATTCTCTTCCTTCTGCTTGGTCCAGCAACGTTCCGCTTTTCCCCAATTTACGCAGTACGAGCATCGACGAACCTCGTGCTCGGTACTGAAGGCCTTGGTCACTTCTTCAGTCTTCACCGCCGCAGACTTGGCACCTTGACGCTTGATGTGATCGTTCGTCAAAACGTTGACAGCGTCGCACGGTGGCAGTTTGCGCTGCTCATCTACAAGTTGAGAACGACGTTCTCGCAGCTCTTGGGGAGATTGCTTCAAAAGAAGATCGCTACGTCCTCGTCCTCCATCTTGGCGCCGATGCTGCTGAGCTTCGCTCTGATGTTGAGGACTTCATTACAATGATGCATGACATTGCCGCTTCCCGCTATCTCCATGCTGAACAGATATCGCTTCAATAAGGTCAATAAACCCTCTTCTGCGACCTACCATACAGTGTCTTCAAACGCGCCCACGCGACCCATGCTATTTTGCTTTCGTCAACCACATGATGAAAGTCGGCGTCCATGCGCAGTAACATCAGTCCGAGCGAACTGTTGTTCGTCTTGATATAATCGTCACTGTCGCGAGGATTCGAGAAGTTTGGCGTCGTCTCTCGGTTGACCACATGCCACGTCGACTTGGTCTGGGACACGCCACACATGTAGCGGCTCCACGTCGCGAGCTTGCCCCCATCAAATTTGTAGATGGAGATCTTGGTAATGGAACCTTGTGCAGAGGACATCTTGCTTGGGCACATATAATAAAGTCTGACGAGCGCTGAGCGAGGATACAAAGCTTGAAAAAAGCTAAAGAAGTCTACACCACAAAGTAAAGATGACTTGTGCTGTAGGAGGAATGTTTAGAAGTGATTGATTTATAGGTATCAACTCTGCCTACGCTTGACTGCATCCAAATCCCATGGTGCATTTAATTAACCTAATTTACACGCGTCCAATCATCCTACGCGTCTAACCAACTCTGAAGTAATCACCGGCATAAAAACTATTCCGTATGCACTACGCTCGAAGATCGGATTGTACCAGTAACCTTCAATGCGCACCCTCAATGCGCACCCTCAATGCAAATATGTGTGAATGCCGAGAGCCGCCGTCATGTCTTTGTGCCGTGGTCCTAGTGGCCCCTTCGTCATGATGTCCGCCAATATATTCGTCGTCTCACAAGATTCCAGCTTGACTTTCTCGCACTTAACCTCATTAAGGATGTAATGGTACTTGATTTTGATGCTCTTGGCTTTACCATGGATCACCGAGTCCTTCGTCATCTTGATGCAGGACTGGTTGTCTTCCGTAACCTTGAGCTCGGACTTGTCCGCTGCGGTAGCCAGAAAATTATCGCGCAGCAAGCGTTGCACCCACTTGCCTTCTTGAATCGCCAGACTTAGAGCGATATACTCGGCTTCACTTGTTGACAATTACACACTTGGTTGCTTCTTGCTACCCCAGCTCACCGGAGCACACATGATCATGAATGCGTCTCTCTAAGTAGACTTGCGATTCACATGGTTGCCGGACCAGTCTGCATCCGAGTAGCCGTAGGAATCCACCTTGCCGCCGAGTTTGGAGCAGATGCCGTGCAATTTGGATCCATGCAAGCATTGCACAATACGCTTGACCGCCATCCAGTGCTCGACTTGCGGTTTCTCCATGAAGCGCGAAACATAGCTCACAGTTAAGGCAATGCCCGGTCGTGTCGCGGTCGTCAAGTGCATTAAGGCACCCACTGCTTGATGAAACAGAGCGTCGATATTGGTCGCTGCGTTACTTGGTGGAGTCGAGGGGTGATGTCCGTTAGGCTGATGACAGCTTTGCAATCGCTCATGCCGAACCGCTTCAGAACACCGTCTACGTAGCGTCGTTGGCACATCGTCACGCTGCCTTCATCCTTTACCATCTCGATACCCAACACAAAAGAACACTTGCCTCTGTCAGTCATCTCGAAATGCGACTTCAAGTCGTACGCGCAATCATTTCAGTCGAGCTGCCAGTCACCAACACATCATCGACGTAGACCAGCAAAACACGCACTGTCCGCTTGCGACCTTGAAATCGATGCATGGGTAAAAGTTGTACGCTTGAAATCTGATAGAGCAGACGAGCTCATGGAAAGTTTCTTTCCACACCCGTGAAGCTTGTTCAGTCTGTAGATTGCTTTCACCATCTCAAAGCAGTCAAAGTCTTCAGTGACTTCTACACCCTCTGGGACCGCGCAAAACACTGGTCCCTTTATTTCACCGTGCAGATCAGTAGTCACCACATCTAGCTGTTCCAGCGTCCAGTAAGTACTCGTGATCACTATCACCATGCGAAGCGTCACATACTTGACGCCTGGTGAGAACGTCTCCGTGAAGTCAATGTCATTTCTCGTCTTGAACCCTTTTGCCACAAGACTCGCCCTTGCACGTTTCGATCGATTCATCAGCCTCGCGCTCGATCTTAAACACCCACTTGGTACCAATGGTGTGCAGTCCAGCTGGCAGCTTGGTCCCTCGGAATACGCCACGTAGCTTCATTGCGTCCAACTCGGCGCAAATTGCATTTCGACAATGAACCCGATCCGGACCACTACCCGCGTGTTGAAACGTTGTCAGCTCGGAAAAGTCAGTATCTTTGGCTACATTGGCACTTGCTTGCCAGAAGACTAGAGGAGACTCATCATCGTCATCTTCATCACCGCCTTTTCGCTCTTCGTCTAGATTGGCGCGAGTTCTTTAGCGCCGTTTCGCTTGATGCGACTCAAAATCATCTGGTGCACTTGCTTCTTTCAACCCGGCTCCACTGCGATTAGGAAGTGTCCGTTAATAGACTTTTTCATGGCAGTTTGAACGGCTCTTTCGCTTTCTATTGTGCTTGAACTGCATGGTGCAAAGCTCATCACTGGTGTATATCGCGTCGAAGTCCAGCGCAGTGTCATCGACAACTTCTTGTGGCAGTGCCCGTGATAATCCAAACGTTGATTCGTCAAAGGCGACATCACGCGATATATTACCACTTGATCTGCTTTAATTTCGTAAATGCGGTATACTGTGGTCAAGTCAATAATCAAATGATGGGACGTAAATCGGTGTCCACCCAGTTAAGACGTCACCCACTAGCGGAAAAGGTACGCCTGGGACCAGGCGATGCGACGTGATTTTAGACGGGGCGTAGAAAGGGGTGATTCCAACGGTGCGATCTGTGATGAGGGACTGGATTGAACTGAACGACCACTCTGAAGGCTGATCAAAGGCAAGGATGTGGATGTTGAAGCAGAATCATTTTGAGAAAGGCATCGGAGTACACACAATAAACGGAAGAACATATATGGCCGGATTGAACTGTGTCGATCCTCAACGATCTCGAATTGGGCATCAGATCGGTCATGTTTCCCACTAGTTATGGAAAGCGGTATGTGTAATCTTTTTTTATTATTGGGGAACCACAAAAAATATTTGATTAATAGTTGACATATTTTTATCAAGTTATATTTAAATTGAATAATCACGGACTTTTTAATTCTAGTAAGCGAAGAATTTTGATGGAAAAAAACCATTTCTGTTGTAGTTTCCATCGTATTTGTTTTTTTAAATTTAAATTTTTAGAAATAATTCGTAACGTTAATCTATTTTTCATTTTTTAAATAAATAACGCTTTTTCATATATTTTTTATTTTTTTGCATAAAATCTTTAATAATATAAATAAAAATATGGAGATAATCGGATTCGAACCAATAACCTTATATTTGCAAAGGATTTTTGTCTAAATTATTTATATTCTTTTGGGCTCAGTTCTATTAGCAGGTTTTTTTATTAAAATTAGGATCTTATGGTTAGATTCGATTTATCGTTGATGAGACTTTTGGATCATGACAAACATGCTTGTTGAAGGTCCATGAAGGATGTTTCAAAAGTTCAGATCAAAAGATCCAGTGGAAGCCGGTTGCATTGACGTCGCAAAATGGATTTAGGCACATTCGGCATTTGGATACTATTTTGGGCTTTTCGGTACTAAAATTGGGTATTTGGTACCATATTGGGAATTCGGTCTCTTTTTGGTGTCTAGGTACTATATCGAGAGTACTAGCGCTATCTTTGGAGTACAGGTCACGAAATTTCGACACGTGTTCAAGGGGGCGGTCAAGCTTAAAGGTGATATCGGTTTGGACAGTGAGCTACGGTTAGAAATAGGCCTACAGATAGGTTGGCTAGTAATTTGGTTGGTAAACAAACAAACTTAAACTCTCCTTCTTCTGCTCACGACGCGCCCCACCCCTTCTCTCCCGGGCAAGATTTCTTTGGCTTCCCCGACGGTTTGAGGCACGCGTGCTACAAGGACATTGAAGACCGGTCTTGGATTGTTGGCCAAGATCGAGAAGAGCGATCCCGGGATATCTGGCCCGGATCGATCAAGTACTCACTCTTAACTCAACTACTAGGGTAGCAGCAACGAAGGAAAAGGATTTTGGACACAAGATCGCGAGACGAATCAAGTGGTCAGAAGACCTGGACTAGGCGTTCAAGACAAGGCCGAGCAAGATCGAAGCGATCCACTGGACAGATCGGCGTGTTTCATTTTGGCAAAATCAAGGAACGATCTGCCCAAATTGCGCACTTCCAGCAAGATCAGACGATCCCAAGGCAAGATCGACGCAAGACTACTATCTGCTGGGTGAAGATTTCCGCACAGCAAAGAACCCGATCCCGAAGACAAATCGAGATCGGTGCGATTCGTGACCGAGACCGCGACATCTTTAACTAGAGATCGCCGTGACTCGAGAATCAAGATCGCAGAACCCCTGTTCGTGGTGTGAAGATTTCGCACCGGAAGCAAACTCTCAACCCAACCTCTCAGCGAGATCGACATCCTCCAAGGCCGTTACGAAGAGCTCAAGCCAGCCCAACCGACGGGTACACAAGGTGAGTACAAGGTTATACAGCAAGGCACGGATCGGAGTACCCCCTCCGTGAGTCGGCAAGTCTGAGCAGTGAAAGATCGACGCTCACTAAAGTAATTTTGTGAGATGGACTTCACCACAATGGTGCGCGTGCCCGGATCTTCTGAGGCCTCTGGATTTCACCGTGAGTCCACTGGCGAAGATGTAAAGATCAAGCAAGAACCTGGGATTGAAGTGTCAGCGACAGAGGGATCGACGCAGACACGCAGAAGCACAAGATCCTCAGATCATCAGAGTGTTGGGAGATGCTCTGACGAAATGAAAATGAAAGAGGAAGATCGAGAGATCGGTCTGGAAGATAAACCTCAATTCCCTCCTAGGGTCCTTCCGGAAGCTACCGCAGATCGCTCTGGAAAGAGCGATCTGCTGGATGAAAATCCAAAGGTAAAAACCAAATTGGCGAAAGCTAAACCCTATGCCTTAGTCGATAGGTCGCCCGACCTCAAGCCGAGGAGCACAATCGCGAGATCGACCACATCGGAACGGTCCACGACGAGATCGATGGGATCAGACGTCAAAGATCGCCAGATCGGCCGAACCGTGCAACCGAAGATCGGAGACAAAGCGAATACTCCTGAAGACAAGATCGGGACACCCTCGGGCTCGTTCCGGAACGCCTCGGATGACTCCGAGAGCGAGTCAGATGGATCTATCAGCATTCGTCGGATTTCTCTGGGACCATGGGGTGGTACGTTTATAAAGGACAAGATCGGCCAAGCTAAGACCGACGCCTATAAGGGACAAGCCAAGAGCAACATGCCGCAGAGATCGGCCGGTACCCACACTGGGATGGATGATCAGGAAGAGGGCGATTTGAGTCGGTACTTCAATTCAGCCATGAAGAAGTACGAGGCGGATCAACGTACAGCTCAGCGAATAGATCGACAGCCAAGCCGCCACCCAGATCGCCGTACTTTGCTCCAACCCTCACACTAAAGCCATGACATGCCGGATGTGGAGATGGAATCGGTGGAGTCGGACACTTACCAACAGATCCATCATGGGGCGGAATACGACCCGGATGATCTATGGATGCCCGAACCACGGCTCCCTCACGTATCCGCGACCGGTGTGACTACCGGAGCGGGAAACATAACGCAGAGGATCAGAATCTCAGCAAATTCTGAGCTGAAAGAATTCTCAGGGAAGGATCGGGAAGAAGACAAAGCGCGAACCTGGATCGGCAAAGTGAAGTCAGCGTTTATCCGGGACCAAGCACCGGACGAAGAGAGATGTCTGGTCTACGGTGATCTCATGGTGGGCCCATCCCGCTACTGGTACCGACAGCTGAGTAGATCGACGAGATTCAATTGGTAAGAATTGATGAACAGTTTTCTTGTGGAATATGCGGGACACGGGATGTCCGCGAGCCGGCAATATTACCATGCAAAGAAACGATCGGAGGAAGATTCTTTGCAGTACCTGTATCGGCTTAAATTGACGGGAATGCAGGCGAAGATACCGGTGATGACTGGATTGCCAGCTGCGCGCAAGGAACATGTCAACCATATTATTGACACCTTGAACGACCCCGATCTGTCCAATCAATTGCTACTGCTGAATGTAGAAGACGCGGATGCCATGCAAAAGACACTGCATGGATATCAACAAGGGAGATCGCGTCAAGGGAAAGTGATGATGGGATCGTCCAAGTTCAGGCAGAAGGGAACTCCGCGCCCAGCGTTTTTTAAGCCTGCACGAGCGGTGAGGATGGTCCGTACCGAGGACGTCAGCAGCGAGTCAGGATCGGACACCTGCGGATCGGATTTGGAAGATCGATTGAGATCGATCCATGTGGCTGCTACTACGGATCGGCGTTCATCCCCCAATGACGTTGCAGCAAACGCAAGATCGGCCGACCCGAACACTCGTCAAGATTATCAAGATCGCAATATGCCATCGAAGCCGTGTACTCATTGCGGATCGACCAAGCATGGAGATCTCGGTTGCTGGAAGCGGCTCACTTGCCAGAAATCTGGGCGTAAAGGACACCCCTCTGACAATTGTTTTTTTGTGTGTCGCGCCTGCGGTGAGATGCATGACCCGAGGAAGTGTCCTATGGAGGAGTTCTACAACATGATCCGCCAGTGGTACGTCCCAATCAATCATGCGGGGATGCTGCCAGAGAAGGCCGAGAAGATGTTAAACTAGGACGCTTGCCAGGTTTGAATCTGGTACGAGCCGAGCGTTCTGGCCTCTTCATCACTGAATACGTGGAAAAAAGAAGACAGATCGCGAGAGTAAGCAGGATACAGAGATGGAAACAAATATATCTCGTTCGAAGTTAAAACGTGTCGCTTCCGTGTCCTATCTGTAGCGGATCGATGAGTACTCACGATCTGAACCAGCTATGGAGATCGAGCTGGCTTACGGTGAATCTCGCGGATATTGGAAACATTACTTGCCCGGGAAGCGGTTCAAACAGGCGAAAGCTGTTGGCAAGATCAACAACGAAAAGCTACTCTGTTATTTGATTCCGGTGCTGAAGTGTCGATCATTGACACCACCTTTGCTCGTAAGGTCGGTTGCAATATTGACGAAAGTCAACGACAAGAATGTATCGGGATTGGAGAAACTCCGTACATGACGGTAGGACGTACCAAGATCAAGGTGACCCTCGCGGGATCGCTGGTATACTATTTTAATGTATGAGTAGGCGATCTGGCAGGGCAAGAAGCGATTCTGGGCATGGAATTTATGGTGCCTGCCGGAGTGCGGCTCGATCTAGCTGATGGCGCGCTATGTCTACCAGAAGAAATCCGTATCCATCTCGCAGGACGTCGCCCCGCGTACGGATCGAAGATACAACATGTAACGGCGAAGGACCAACACGTGGTTATCCCGGTAGGAGAGTCAAGAGAAGTGAAGATCGGGATCGGAGGGGCTAAGATGAAGTTGTGGGTCGCTAGAGGACCAGATTGGGTCCCCATTGTGATCTCGGGGTTGGGTAAGACGAAATACCTGCAGATGACCAACGTTGACGACCGTGAGATCATACTGCCCACCCACACGATATTAGGCTTGTGGACCGAAGGCGATATGGTACTACGAACTCAAGGTTTTTTACGGTCGGATCGGTGAAGTACAAGGAGTGGCAAACTCTGGCGTATGAGGCTACGACGGATCGAATGATTGAACTCCCAAAAGAGCATATCGGACCATTGGTAGATCGCCTTACGTACGCCACTCCCAAATATGATCCCCTAATGCAGTTATGAAGCGTACCCCGACTGATGCGTTAAACGCCATGCCGTTATCAGCGATCTCCATGGAACGACCTGACCATAAAGCTCTATGGTACTGTTGGTGGACATGGCTAGTGGATTCTGGGTCGTCGGGGAAAAGAACGGTCAACGGAGTCGGATCGAATCCACTCGATAAAATAAATCTATCGTCGAAGGATAACGATCGTGAGATCGAAACCGAGATCGCGATGAGAAGAGATCACGGGACCGAACGAGAAGAACAAGACAACAGACTGTCTTCATTAGACGTCAATCGTGCAGACAACAGAACAGGAATGGATCGGTCCGAGGCGACGCAAAGATCTAAAGAGGACAAGCCGTCTAAGATCGACGAAGCTGACTCCGCAGAAGCACCAGTCTACTATCACGAGAGTGGAGATTTGTTTGCCGAAGACATCGAGCAACACCTGGCGGTGTTACCAGAGATGTCCACTGCTACGGAAGAAGTGACAATTAACGACATTCAGATCGGCGATCCGGACGTTCCTCTCACCGCAGATCAACAAAGACTCAGATCGCTGATTTGGAGGAGCCGTCACCTTCTTATGGGGAAGGGCAATGCTCTACCACCAGCGGCACGATGGACGATTTGTGATATCGATGTCGGTGGAGCCGCACCAATTGCGCAAAGAGTCCGTCCGGTCGCACCCAAACATCGGGAGAAGCTGTCAGATCTCATCAAAGGACTGTTGGCAGACAAGATCGTTCAGCCATCCACGTCAACTTGGGCGTCTCCGATAGTGGTGATCATCAAGAAGAACGGAGTGGATATTCGCCTTTGCATTGATTATCGAAGAGTGAACCAGCTGACGCGACTGATGGTTTATCCCATGCCGTTGATCAGCGATCTGCTGGAAGATCTGGATAAAGCTCTATGGTACTGTTCGCTAGACATGGCTACTGGATTCTAGGTCGTCGAAATGAACGGTCAACGGAGTCGGATCGAATCCACTCAATGAAACAAATCTATCGTCGAAGGATAACGATCGTGAGATCGAAACAGAGATCGCGATGAGAAGAGATCACGGGACCGAATGAGAAGAACAAGACAACAGACTGTCTTCATTAGACGTCAATCTTGCAGACAACAGAACAGGAATGGATCGGTCCGAGGCGACGCAAAGATCTAAAGAGGACAAGCCGTCTAAGATCGACGAAGCTGACTCCGCAGAAGCACCAGTCTACTATCACGAGAGTGGAGATTTGTTTGCCGAAGACATCGAGCAACACCTGGCGGTGTTACCAGAGATGTCCACTGCTACGGAAGAAGTGACAATTAACGACATTCAGATCGGCGATCCGGACGTTCCTCTCACCGCAGATCAACAAAGACTCAGATCGCTGATTTGGAGGAGCCGTCACCTTCTTATGGGGAAGGGCAATGCTCTACCACCAGCGGCACGATGGACGATTTGTGATATCGATGTCGGTGGAGCCGCACCAATTGCGCAAAGAGTCCGTCCGGTCGCACCCAAATATCGGGAGAAGCTGTCAGATCTCATCAAAGGACTGTTGGCAGACAAGATCGTTCAGCCATCCACGTCAACTTGGGCGTCTCCGATAGTGGTGATCATCAAGAAGAACGGAGTGGATATTCGCCTTTGCATTGATTATCGAAGAGTGAACCAGCTGACGCGACTGATGGTTTATCCCATGCCGTTGATCAGCGATCTGCTGGAAGATCTGGATAAAGCTCTATGGTACTGTTCGCTAGACATGGCTACTGGATTCTGGGTCGTCGAAATGAACGGTCAACGGAGTCGGATCGAATCCACTCGATGAAACAAATCTATCGTCGAAGGATAACGATCGTGAGATCGAAACAGAGATCGCGATGAGAAGAGATCACGCGACCGAACGAGAAGAACAAGACAACAGACTGTCTTCATTAGACGTCAATCGTGCAGACAACAGAACAGGAATGGATCGGTCCGAGGCGACGCAAAGATCTAAAGAGGACAAGCCGTCTAAGATCGACGAAGCTGACTCCGCAGAAGCACCAGTCTACTATCACGAGAGTGGAGATTTGTTTGCCGAAGACATCGAGCAACACCTGGCGGTGTTACCAGAGATGTCCACTGCTACGGAAGAAGTGACAATTAACGACATTCAGATCGGCGATCCGGACGTTCCTCTCACCGCAGATCAACAAAGACTCAGATCGCTGATTTGGAGGAGCCGTCACCTTCTTATGGGGAAGGGCAATGCTCTACCACCAGCGGCACGATGGACGATTTGTGATATCGATGTCGGTGGAGCCGCACCAATTGCGCAAAGAGTCCGTCCGGTCGCACCCAAATATCGGGAGAAGCTGTCAGATCTCATCAAAGGACTGTTGGCAGACAAGATCGTTCAGCCATCCACGTCAACTTGGGCGTCTCCGATAGTGGTGATCATCAAGAAGAACGGAGTGGATATTCGCCTTTGCATTGATTATCGAAGAGTGAACCAGCTGACGCGACTGATGGTTTATCCCATGCCGTTGATCAGCGATCTGCTGGAAGATCTGGATAAAGCTCTATGGTACTGTTCGCTAGACATGGCTAGTGGATTCTGGGTCGTCGAAATGAACGGTCAACGGAGTCGGATCGAATCCACTCAATGAAACAAATCTATCGTCGAAGGATAACGATCGTGAGATCGAAACAGAGATCGCGATGAGAAGAGATCACGGGACCGAACGAGAAGAACAAGACAACAGACTGTCTTCATTAGACGTCAATCGTGCAGACAACAGAACAGGAATGGATCGGTCCGAGGCGACGCAAAGATCTAAAGAGGACAAGCCGTCTAAGATCGACGAAGCTGACTCCGCAGAAGCACCAGTCTACTATCACGAGAGTGGAGATTTGTTTGCCGAAGACATCGAGCAACACCTGGCGGTGTTACCAGAGATGTCCACTGCTACGGAAGAAGTGACAATTAACGACATTCAGATCGGCGATCCGGACGTTCCTCTCACCGCAGATCAACAAAGACTCAGATCGCTGATTTGGAGGAGCCGTCACCTTCTTATGGGGAAGGGCAATGCTCTACCACCAGCGGCACGATGGACGATTTGTGATATCGATGTCGGTGGAGCCGCACCAATTGCGCAAAGAGTCCGTCCGGTCGCACCCAAATATCGGGAGAAGCTGTCAGATCTCATCAAAGGACTGTTGGCAGACAAGATCGTTCAGCCATCCACGTCAACTTGGGCGTCTCCGATAGTGGTGATCATCAAGAAGAACGGAGTGGATATTCGCCTTTGCATTGATTATCGAAGAGTGAACCAGCTGACGCGACTGATGGTTTATCCCATGCCGTTGATCAGCGATCTGCTGGAAGATCTGGATAAAGCTCTATGGTACTGTTCGCTAGACATGGCTAGTGGATTCTGGGTCGTCGAAATGAACGGTCAACGGAGTCGGATCGAATCCACTCAATGAAACAAATCTATCGTCGAAGGATAACGATCGTGAGATCGAAACAGAGATCGCGATGAGAAGAGATCACGGGACCGAATGAGAAGAACAAGACAACAGACTGTCTTCATTAGACGTCAATCGTGCAGACAACAGAACAGGAATGGATCGGTCCGAGGCGACGCAAAGATCTAAAGAGGACAAGCCGTCTAAGATCGACGAAGCTGACTCCGCAGAAGCACCAGTCTACTATCACGAGAGTGGAGATTTGTTTGCCGAAGACATCGAGCAACACCTGGCGGTGTTACCAGAGATGTCCACTGCTACGGAAGAAGTGACAATTAACGACATTCAGATCGGCGATCCGGACGTTCCTCTCACCGCAGATCAACAAAGACTCAGATCGCTGATTTGGAGGAGCCGTCACCTTCTTATGGGGAAGGGCAATGCTCTACCACCAGCGGCACGATGGACGATTTGTGATATCGATGTCGGTGGAGCCGCACCAATTGCGCAAAGAGTCCGTCCGGTCGCACCCAAATATCGGGAGAAGCTGTCAGATCTCATCAAAGGACTGTTGGCAGACAAGATCGTTCAGCCATCCACGTCAACTTGGGCGTCTCCGATAGTGGTGATCATCAAGAAGAACGGAGTGGATATTCGCCTTTGCATTGATTATCGAAGAGTGAACCAGCTGACGCGACTGATGGTTTATCCCATGCCGTTGATCAGCGATCTGCTGGAAGATCTGGATAAAGCTCTATGGTACTGTTCGCTAGACATGGCTAGTGGATTCTGGGTCGTCGAAATGAACGGTCAACGGAGTCGGATCGAATCCACTCAATGAAACAAATCTATCGTCGAAGGATAACGATCGTGAGATCGAAACAGAGATCGCGATGAGAAGAGATCACGGGACCGAATGAGAAGAACAAGACAACAGACTGTCTTCATTAGACGTCAATCGTGCAGACAACAGAACAGGAATGGATCGGTCCGAGGCGACGCAAAGATCTAAAGAGGACAAGCCGTCTAAGATCGACGAAGCTGACTCCGCAGAAGCACCAGTCTACTATCACGAGAGTGGAGATTTGTTTGCCGAAGACATCGAGCAACACCTGGCGGTGTTACCAGAGATGTCCACTGCTACGGAAGAAGTGACAATTAACGACATTCAGATCGGCGATCCGGACGTTCCTCTCACCGCAGATCAACAAAGACTCAGATCGCTGATTTGGAGGAGCCGTCACCTTCTTATGGGGAAGGGCAATGCTCTACCACCAGCGGCACGATGGACGATTTGTGATATCGATGTCGGTGGAGCCGCACCAATTGCGCAAAGAGTCCGTCCGGTCGCACCCAAATATCGGGAGAAGCTGTCAGATCTCATCAAAGGACTGTTGGCAGACAAGATCGTTCAGCCATCCACGTCAACTTGGGCGTCTCCGATAGTGGTGATCATCAAGAAGAACGGAGTGGATATTCGCCTTTGCATTGATTATCGAAGAGTGAACCAGCTGACGCGACTGATGGTTTATCCCATGCCGTTGATCAGCGATCTGCTGGAAGATCTGGATAAAGCTCTATGGTACTGTTCGCTAGACATGGCTAGTGGATTCTGGGTCGTCGAAATGAACGGTCAACGGAGTCGGATCGAATCCACTCAATGAAACAAATCTATCGTCGAAGGATAACGATCGTGAGATCGAAACAGAGATCGCGATGAGAAGAGATCACGGGACCGAATGAGAAGAACAAGACAACAGACTGTCTTCATTAGACGTCAATCGTGCAGACAACAGAACAGGAATGGATCGGTCCGAGGCGACGCAAAGATCTAAAGAGGACAAGCCGTCTAAGATCGACGAAGCTGACTCCGCAGAAGCACCAGTCTACTATCACGAGAGTGGAGATTTGTTTGCCGAAGACATCGAGCAACACCTGGCGGTGTTACCAGAGATGTCCACTGCTACGGAAGAAGTGACAATTAACGACATTCAGATCGGCGATCCGGACGTTCCTCTCACCGCAGATCAACAAAGACTCAGATCGCTGATTTGGAGGAGCCGTCACCTTCTTATGGGGAAGGGCAATGCTCTACCACCAGCGGCACGATGGACGATTTGTGATATCGATGTCGGTGGAGCCGCACCAATTGCGCAAAGAGTCCGTCCGGTCGCACCCAAATATCGGGAGAAGCTGTCAGATCTCATCAAAGGACTGTTGGCAGACAAGATCGTTCAGCCATCCACGTCAACTTGGGCGTCTCCGATAGTGGTGATCATCAAGAAGAACGGAGTGGATATTCGCCTTTGCATTGATTATCGAAGAGTGAACCAGCTGACGCGACTGATGGTTTATCCCATGCCGTTGATCAGCGATCTGCTGGAAGATCTGGATAAAGCTCGTATGGTGATCGCGATCACCAAGTATTTCGACTGGCCACTGGACCAACTCGATGTGGTGACAGCCTTTCTCTACGGGTGATGAAGGAGAAGGTGTACTGTGTGATACCAGAAGGCGTCGAGATGGATGGCGACTTCGACTGTATCGAGTTGGTGAAGGCGATCTACGGTCTCAAGCAAGCTTCACGTGTGAGAACGAGACTTTCGACGAGTTCGTATGCTTTATCGGTTTCGAAGTGTCATGCGTTCGACCCATGTCACATCAAGGTTGTCGACGGTCACGCACTGTATTGCTCGTGCTGGTCTACGTGGATGACGTGTTGGTCACCGGCAGCTCGCTCGAGTTGATTGCGCAGGCCGACCTCAAGACGCGTTTCGAGATGACCGACAGTGGCAAATTGTACTTTTGTACTGGGCATCGAACTGGTGGAGCGAATCGGATGGCAGCGTGACGATGTGCCAGCGACGGTATGTCAACGACATCCTCAAGCGCTTCGGCATGGATGAGTGCAAGGCCACAGCTTAAGTCCGGTCGACTTGGGCACTCGGCTTGTCGCAAGCAGCGAAGCGGCCAAGATCGACGTTCCGTTTCGTGAAGCTGTGGGAGCTTTGATGCACTTGACGACTGCGACGCGCCCGGACATTGCGTATGCTGTGGGGTACGTCTCGTAGCACTTCATGGAGAATCCGCAACAAGAACATTGGACGGCGGTGAAGCGCATCTTTCGTTACTTGCAAGGGGGCCGAGTCGCACGGACTCCGCTTCCAGCCAAAAGCGACAAGATCGACTTTCGTGGCTACTCCGACGCCGGATCAGCCGGTGACCACGCAGATCACAAGTCGACTTCGGGTTACACTTTCATGCTGATGGGTGCTCCTGTGAGTTGGGGGAAGCAAGAAGCAGTCAAGTGTGTCGCTGTCGACGAGTGAAGCTGAAATACATCGCACTGAGTCTAGCCATCCAGGAAGGCAAGTGGGTGCATCGCCTGCTAATGCGAGATTTTTTGGCGGCCGCAAACGAACTAGGACCGACCTCGTCATCCCGTGAAAACAACCAGTCGTCATCAAGATGACCGAAGAATCGGTGAATCAGGGGCGCGCTGGGCAACATCGACAGCGAGTACCGTCGCATCCGTGATGAAGTCAAGCGCAGTGAGAAGTGAAGCTCGAGTATTGCGAGACTTCCCGTGATGATGGCGGACATCATGACCAAGGGACTTTCGGGACCTCGTCACAAGGACTTGACGACGGCTCTCGGCATTCGTGCGAGTTCGGATTGAGGGCGTGTTGACGGTCATCGGTTTCTACCAGTATTGGTAACCGTGACCGGTCCAATCCGAACCGCCTGTTCAGCTTGGTATTTACGACGTAGTTCTTACGGTAATTACCATAGTTGATTAGACGCGTAGGATGATGAGAAAGCTTCACATGATTTATATGTGCACCACATATAAATCATGTAGTAAATAGTAAGCCCCGATAATCAATCACTTTCCAATCTTCCATCTACCCCCCAAGTGTCTTCTCCGGTCTTCCGAGTGGACTCCCACCATCACTCCCAGTTTCGGTCGTCAAGCTTTTTACCAATCAACACAACCGTCACCAGAAACGACGATCAAGTGCTCCAGAAACGATGTCTGATGACGAAGAAGATGCAAGCGTCTACGATCAAGATGACGACTCGACGCCTCCAACATTTTGGCGTGCAAGTGCAAACGCAGTGGAAGCAACGGACCTAGCAGAACCTGTGACTTTTCAAGACGCGATCAATGGTCCTGATTCCAAGCTCACTGGCGAAATGCTGTATAGGCGGAACTCAAGTCGATGCATCTTCGTGGAGTTTTCCGTGCGGCAAAACTGCCAAGAGGCCAAGGCGCGATCGGCACCAAGTGGGTGTTCAAGATCAAGCGCAAAGCGGATGGATCGGTCGAGAAATACAAGGCGCGTCTCGTTGCCAAGGGCTTCAAGCAGAAGTACGGCATCGACTACACAGAGACGTTCTCGCCCGTGGTCAAGTACGTGACACTGCGTATGGTGATCGCGATCACCAAGTATTTCGACTGGCCACTGGACCAACTCGATGTGGTGACAGCCTTTCTCTACGGAGTGATGAAGGAGAAGGTGTACTGCGTGATACCAGAAGGCGTCGAGATGGATGGCGACTTTGACTGTCTCGAGTTGGTGAAGGCGATCTACGGTCTCAAGCAAGCTTCACGTGTGTGGAACGAGACTTTCGACGAGTTCGTATGCTCCATCGGTTTCGAAGCGTCGGCGTTCGACCCATGTCTCTACATCAAGGTTGTCGACGGTCACTGTGTGCTCGTGCTGGTCTACGTGGATGACGTGTTGGTCAACGGCAGCTCGCTCGAGTTGATTGCGCAGACGAAGGCCGACCTCAAGACGCGTTTCGAGATGACCGACAGTGGCAAGTGTACTTTTGTACTGGGCATCGAACTGGTGGACGAATCGGATGGCAGCGTGACGATGTGCCAGCGACGGTATGTCAACGACATCCTCAAGCGCTTCGGCATGGACGAGTGCAAGGCCACAGCAAGTCCGGTCGACTTGAGCACTCGGCTTGTCGCAAGCAGCGAAGCGGCCAAGATCGACGTTCCGTTTCGTGAAGCTGTGGGAGCTTTGATGCACTTGACGACTGCGACGCGCCCGGACATTGCGTATGCTGTGGGGTACGTCTCGCGCTTCATGGAGAATCCGCAGCAAGAACATTGGACGGCGGTGAAGCGCATCTTTCGTTACTTGCAAGGGACCAAGTCGCACGGACTCCGCTTCCAGCCAAGCGACAAGATCGACTTTCGTGGCTACTCGGACGCGGACTGGGCCGGCGACCACGCTGATCGCAAGTCGACTTCGGGTTACACTTTCATGCTGATGGGTGCTCCTGTGAGTTGGGGAAGCAAGAAGCAGTCAAGTGTGTCGCTGTCGACGAGTGAAGCGGAATACATCGCACTGAGTCTGGCCATCCAGGAAGGCAAGTGGGTGCATCGCCTGCTATGCGAGATTTTGGCGGCCGCAAACGAACCAGGACCGGACCTCGTCATCCGTGAAGACAATCAGTCGTGCATCAAGATGACGAATAATCCTGTCAAACATGGCCGTGCCAAGCACGTCGACATCAAGTACCATCACATCCGTGATGAGGTCAAGCGCGGCGAAGTCAAGCTCAAGTACTGTGAGACTACGGTGATGTTGGCAGACATCATGACCAAGGGACTTTCGGGACCTCGTCACAAGGACTTGACGACGGCTCTCGGCATTCGTGCGAGTTCGGATTGAGGGGGCGTGTTGACGGTCATCGGTTTTCTACCAGTATTGGTAACCGTGACCGGTCCAATCCGAACCGCCTGTTCAGCCTAGTATTTACGACGTAGTTCTTACGGTAATTACCATAGTTGATTAGACGCGTAGGATGATGAGATACTTCACATGATTTATATGTGCACCACATATAAATCATGTAGTAAGTAGTAAGCCCCGATAATCAATCACTTTCCAATCTTCCATCTACCCCCCCCAAGTGTCTCCTCCGGTCTTCCGAGTGAACTCCCAGCATCACTCCCAATTTCGGTCGTCAAGCTTTTCACCCCTCAACACAAGTGGAACCAGTTGTGCCGACCTACATGCGAGAATGGGTCATGCTCCAGTCGATGTACTTCGCAAGATGATCGCGACCAACATGATCAAGGATGTGCGAGTCCCTCTCAAGTCGGGTGGAGCAACTACATGTCGAGGATGTCAACAAGGGAAAATCCAAAAACCATTTCCAAGCAACCGAGACAAGCGCAGCTACGATACGTTTGAGCTACTTCATCTGGACATCTGCAGGCCCATGGAAAGGATTCGCTTGGTGGCAGCAAATATTTGCTGCTGATCATCGACGAAGCCAGTGGATGCATGAAGGGCTTTTGTCTACGAATGAAGTCCGAGAGTGAAGACTACATCCGGAAATATATCACCATGGTACAGACGCAATTCTGTAAGAAGGTCAAGTTCGTGCGACACGACGGAGCTCGCGAGTTTGCAACCAACTCGCTTCAGCTGTTCTACAAAGACGAAGGCATTGAACAGCAGACAACGGTGCCGTATGCACATCAAACAAACGGAACAGCAGAGCGTGCCATTAGGACTATTGTCACGATCGGCCGCAGCATGCTTCATCATGCCAAACTGGACAAGTGTTTCTGGGCCGAAGCAGCGATGACGGCCATCTACGTCAAGAATCGACTGCCGTCACCTAAAGTCGTGCACAAGACCCCGTTTGAGATCGTCTACAACTTGAAACCAAGCGTCAAGCACATGCGAACATTCGGATGTCATACATACTGACGCCTAAAGAGAATCGACTCAAGTGGGATCCAAAGGCTCGCGCTGGCATATTCGTGGGCTACGAAGAAGTTTCGAAGGCATATCGTGTTTATGACATCGAGGCGGGGACAGGTGGTTATCAGCCGCGATGTCAACTTCGACGAGTCCACCTTTAGACTTCAACTGCCGATCACTGATGAAGATGTCGATGACCTGGACTTCGAATTGCTGGATCTTGATGACGAAGAGCTGCGTCAAATGGAGTATCAGCAAACAGGCAAGCGCAAGAATCGACTCAATGATGAAGATACAGCAGCTCCACGACCGCGTGCAGTGCGTCAACGACCAGGACTAGAAGAGTCAAACGCGCCGGAAAACAACTCGTCACGCCAAGAAGAAGACGAAGAAACGAAGGATTCTGGTGATTCAACACCGCCTGTGTTTTGGCGTGCGAGTGCAAATGCCGTTGAAGCAGCAGTGGACTTATCAGAGCCCTCAACATTTGAAGCAGCAGTAAGCGGCCCTGACCAAGTGCACTGGAGAAAAGCAATTCATGCAGAGCTCGAGTCAATGCGACTTCGCGGTGTGTTTCGTGCAGCCAAGCTGCCCAACGGACAACGCGCCATTGGCACAAAATGGGTGTTCAAGATCAAGCGTAAAGCGGATGGATCTATCGAGAAGTACAAGGCACGACTTGTGGCCAAGGGTTTCCGCCAAAAGTATGGCATCGACTACACGGAGACGTTTTCGCCTATGGTCAAGTATGTGACGCTGCGAATGGTGATCGCAATTTCCAAGCATTTTGGATGGCCCATCGACCAGCTTGATGTGGTGACAGCTTTCCTGTATGGCGTCATGAAGGAACAAGTGTTCTGCGTGATTCCTGAAGGCGTCGAACTTGACAGTACGTTCGACTGCCTGGAATTGGTGAAGTCAATTTACGGCCTCAAGCAAGCGTCGCGAGTGTGGAACGAGACGTTCGACGAGTATGTGTGCTCCATCGGATTTCAAGTATCGGACTTCGACCCATGTCTCTACATCAAGACTTCGGACGGCCATTGCGTGTTTATACTGGTCTACGTGGACGACGTCTTGGTGACTGGAAGCTCTCTCGAGCTGATTTTACAAACCAAGAACGACCTGAAGACGCGGTTCGAGATGACGGACAGCGGCAAGTGTGCGTTTGTTCTTGGGATCGAGCTTTTTGGACGATGAAGATGGCAGTGTGACACTATGTCAGCGTCGGTATGTCGATGATATCCTCAAGCGCTTTGGCATGGATGATTGCAAGGCAGTCGCAAGTCCAGTCGACATGAGCTCTCGACTTGTTTCAAGTGATGCAACTACCAAGGTCGATGCTCCTTTTCGCGAAGCTGTTGGTGCGTTGATGCACCTGACCACTTCAACGCGTCCGGACATTGCGTTTGCTGTGGGCTATGTGTCGCGGTTCATGAAAAATCCCCAAGAAGAACACTGGGTTGCAGTTAAGCGTATCTTTCGCTACCTACAAGGCACTAAGACGCATGGAATTTGCTACAAGCCAAGTGCAAGGATCGACTTCCGTGGATATTCGGATGCGGATTGGGCTGGTGAACTTACCGACCGCAAGTCAACATCGGGGTACACGTTCATGCTACTCCGGTGCGCCAGTGAGTTGGGGCAGCAAGAAGCAGCCAAGTGTTTCGTTGTCCACGACTGAAGCTGAATACATCGCACTCAGCTTGGCGATTCAAGAGGGCAAGTGGATTCATCGTCTGCTTTGTGAGATCGTGATGGCTGCCAATGAAGAAGGACCGGAACTCATGATTCATGAAGACAATCAGTCATGTATCAAGATGACGAAGAACCCGGTCAACCACGGCCGTGCCAAGCACATTGATATCAAGTACCATCACATCCGTGATGAGGTCAAGCGCGGTGAAGTGAAGCTCAAGTATTGTGAAACTGCGGTGATGTTAGCGGACATCATGACGAAGGGACTTCATGGACCACGCCACAAGGAGATGACGACGGCTCTCGGGATTCGTGAGCATTCGGATTGAGGGGGCGTGTTGACGGTCATCGGTTTTCTACCAGTGTTGGTAACCGTGACCGGTCCAATCCGAACCGCCTGTTCAGCCTAGTATTTACGACGTAGTTCTTACGGTAATAACCATAGTTGATTAGACGCGTAGGATGATGAGACGCTTCACATGATTTATATGTACACCACATATAAATCATGTAGTAAGTAGTAAGTCCCGATAATCAATCACTTTCGAATCTTCCAACTATTGGGCAAGTGTTTTCTGCTCCACTCTCTTCGGTCTCTCCACTCCGTTAGCTCCGCTTTCCTCGCTCCGATCTACAATGCAACACACTTGTTCCTTCATGACGCCATACAGGAAAGCTGTCACACACCAAGCTGGTCGATGGGCCATCCAAAATGTTGGAAATTGCGATCACCATTCTCAGCGTCACATACTTGACCACAGGCGAAAACGTCTCCGTGTAGTTAATGCCATACTTTTGGCGGAAACCCTTGGCCACAAGTCGTGCCTTGTACTTCTCGATTGACCCATCCGCCTTGCGCTTGATCTTGAACACCCATTTTGTGCCAATGGCGCGTTGTCCGTTGGGCAGCTTGGCTGCACGAAACACACCGCGAAGTCGCATTGACTCGAGCTCTGCATGAATTGCTTTTCTCCAGTGCAATTGGTCAGGGCCGCTTACTGCTGCTTCAAATGTTGAGGGCTCTGATAAGTCCACTGCTGCTTCAACGGCATTTGCACTCGCACGCCGAAACACAGGCGGTGTTGAATCACCAGAATCCTTCGTTTCTTCGTCTTCTTCTTGGCGGGACGAGTTGTTTTCCGGCGCGCTTGACTCTTCTAGTCCTGGTCGTTGACGCACTGCACGCGGTCGTGGAGCTGCTGTATCTTCATCATTGAGTCGGTTCTTGCGCTTTGTTGCATTGTAGATCGGAGCGAGGAAAGCGGAGCGAACGGAGCGGAGAGACCGAAAGAGAGTAGAGCAGAAAACACTTGCCCAATAGTTGGAAGATTCGAAAGTGATTGATTATCGGGGCTTACTACTTACTACATGATTTATATGTGGTGCACATATAAATCATGTGAAGCTATCTCATCATCCTACGCGTCTAATCAACTATGGTAATTACCGTAAGAACTACGTCGTAAATACTAGGCTGAACAGGCGGTTCGGATTGGACCGGTCACGGTTACCAATACTGGTAGAAACCGATGACCGTCAACACGCCCCTCAATCCGAACTCGCACGAATGCCGAGAGCCGTCGTCAAGTCCTTGTGACGAGGTCCCGAAAGTCCGCTTGGTCATGATGTCCGCCATCATCACGGAAGTCTCGCAATACTCGAGCTGCACTTCCCCGCGCTTGACCTCATCACGGATGTGATGGTGCTTGATGTCGATGTGCTTGGCGCGGCCATGATTCACCGGATTCTTCGTCATCTTGATGCACGACTGGTTGTCTTCACGGATGACGAGGTCAGTCCCTGGTTCGTTTGCGGCCGCCAAAATCTCGCAATAGCAGGCGATGCACCCACTTGCCTTCCTGGATGGCCAGACTCCAGTGCGATGTATTCCGCTTCACTCGTCGACAGCGACATACTTGACTGCTTCTTGCTTCCCAACTCACAGGAGCACCCATCAGCATGAAAGTGTAACCCGAAGTCGACTTGCGATCAGCGTGGTCGCCGGCCCAGTCCGCGTCGAGTAGCCACGAAAGTCGATCTTGTCGCTTGGCTGGAAGCGGAGTCCGTGCGACTTGGTCCCGCAGTAACGAAAGATGCGCTTCACCGCCGTCCAATGTTCTTGCTGCGGATTCTCCATGAAGCGCGAGACGTACCCCACAGCATACGCAATGTCCGGGCGCGTCGCAGTCGTCAAGTGCATCAAAGCTCCCACAGCTTCACGAAACGGAACGTCGATCTTGGCCGCTTCGCTGCTTGCGACAAGCCGTGCCCAAGTCGACCGGACTT